TAAGTAGTAAATATGTGTCGTAAGTAGAGTCGTCATTTTAGAGACGCTTGGGAAAATGTTGCACGTTGATTCCATTTTTAAAAAAAAACTTTTAAAATAGGTCGTCAAAGAAATTCAACGTTAATTTTTAATGCTTTATGACATTATAACCTTTTTATATTGCATGGAAAACATATTTAGGTTGTGTTTACTTCTAACCATGGTTGTCAAGTTTCCATAGAGGTGGGCGACTGTTTATTGTTGTGGAAACTGAACCCACAATGAGGAAAAATGTGACAGTAGCAAAAAAACAAAACAAAACACAAAAAAACTAACAACTTGACAAAACAGGCAGAAACTGCTCAGGATTCAAATGGTTATCCACTAAATTCTTATGTTTTTAGTCTTATTGTGGTGCCATTTTTTGTGAAAAAGCAGGTATTTTTGCTTTGTACCAAACTGAACCATCAGTTCAGTCAAATAAAACAGCTTTCAGCATCAAGTTATGTAATATTTATAACAACTGCCTCATACACAGGTTTTCTTCCCACAGTGATGCAGCATCACGGCATTAAATCTTTATATCTTAGACCTACCTTTGTAGCAAATGACTCTCACTTCCCATCTCCATAATGTCAAACGTGTAACTGCTTCTCATTTCACTCCCTCATGCTACCTAAGTCCCCAAATTAACATAATGTATTCACCTCACTCTCTCTCTCTCTCTCTCTCTCTCTCGCTCCCTCTCCAAGGCTTTGCGAATTCTAAAAGGTAAATTGAAGGGTAATTTCGAGTCATGTGGAGCGCTGTCCTAACCGGATTAGACCCTGATTTGCATGTTATTATGGACGCTTACATTCAATACACCCCTGACCGCTTTTCTCTGCTCGGATAAGTGATTTGAGACTTCAGATGCACCGGAGAAGGTGACAGTAACGTGAAAACCCGCTTCTGCTGATCACAGACCTGTTAAGACTATTGGATGTTGTGGTGAGCTTTGTGCATATGTGTGTTAGTGTGAGGTATGGCGTGGTTGCTCTGTTGCTGGAGTGCCTCTCCATTCTGCCCTCCCTCTCTCCCTCCCTCTCTCTCTCTCTGGTCTTGATGATTGTAGCCTGCAGGATGCCATCTGGGTTCTGTCATATGTTGTTACTGTGGCAAGCAAAGGCTGAGATGGCTTATGTACAGCCCTGTGTGGCTGCGGGTCAAAGTGGAGTGACTGTGTTTGTAGGAGTGAATGTGTGGGTTAGCAAGATAGGAGGCTTTGTGCATTGTGTGTGCGTGTACGTGTGTGCGTGTGCGTGCGTGACTATGGGATATTTCATTGTCCGTGCGTGTTTGTCTCTGAGAGGATGTGTTGCAGTCGAGGGTGAATTAATGTCTCTGCATCTGTTCATGCTAGTGCTGAAACTGCTTTCCTGACAATTTATTATCGGGATGTCATTCCGCAATAGCTATATTAATAATTATGGATTGTTAAATGCACCAATCAAGTTAAAGGTTTGTTTTCACTGTAAGTAAAATTAACATGTTCCTGCTAAGGGATGTCAACAAAATGAACACTTTAAAGTCAGGGTGGGATCAAATGTCGATATGGACAATATCGTATCACTTTGTTTTGTGATTGATACACTGGCTATTTAGAAATGAAATGAACAGAAGTTAATTAACTTGTGCTGAAGAAATAGTAAAATGTCAAACAGCAGGGCAAAGCAAATCAGAGAGATAATGAAATTAATTGGCATATTAATAAAATGCATTAATAGTGACACTGCACACACTGGCACCAGAGCTCAGCATCATTTCTGCTTTTTTGTCAGATGTCGTGTTGTATCATAGTTTATTGTCTTGCAAGGCACTGAGTGTCGCAGAATTGCTGTATAGTGATACCATCTTTCTTGTGGGAAGCCTGTTGTGATCATGAATGACACAACTCTGAATATGTCACCTTGAGCTTTAGGATATAGACGTTGCCCCGAGAGGTGCAGAGAATGATTATTGCAGTTCCCCTCCAGGTTTTAGTGTCTCTGAGCTGATTGTTTTGATTTACAGCCTTCAACTTTACTGCTTGGGTCCATCCCAGCACTCGCATCAACAATGACACTCCGGTAGACTCACTGTGCTCTACGTGCACATAACGGCAGTCACTAAATTAGCGAAAAGCTTTTGTTACAGTTGAGCACGTAGCGGCTCAAAATACAACACAGACTATTTCCTCAGGATATGATGGACAAAGATATGCACTATTGGTGCTCAGTGTCTGCTAGATGAGGACATTTTCAAATGTTTTCTCGTAAGCTCACGTTACCACTTTCTTAAGGTGATGGATGACATCTGACTGTGGTGTTTGCAGCTTGTTATGCTGCCCCCAAGTGGTCAAAATATCAACTAATGTCGCGTGAAGTGCCATTTGGCTTTAAACAAAGCAGAACCTTAAAATTGTTCTGAAATATTTTATATACCTGCAGATCATTTTTCATTGTCTCAGACCCATAATCAAGGATGGATCAGACAAGTGTATGCACAGCGGACAGGAAGACAAAGACACAGAGCAATAATGACAAGGGCTAGCAAACAAAGGAAACCAGCCAAAAGAAAATTGCTTATTTACTTGAAATGTATGACTCCTTTGGTCTGGAGCCAAGCCATAAATAACAAAATGAAATGATCTACTAAGCCGCTTACTGGAACAGGTACAGTATTACAGTGACCCAGTAGCCAGCTCTCTGTGTCTGGGCTTTTCTTGCTGCAATCTCCCTGCGGAGGGAGTTCTGTTGTCACTTCCCACCTCTGATTTATTATCCAGACTCTCACTTACAGAGCAGTCCAGCTCTGGGGACACTAGTCGCCATACTCATGGCTATTTCCAACCAACAACCCCCTCTCCCTCCACCCTGGCCTGCAGTGATGCTGCAGCCCAGCAAAGACGTGATGTGATGAATGGGGATGCTAAGGTTTACATGCAGGCTAAGATCCAGACAGAGATGAAGCTCAGGCTCTCTGCACTCTTGGTTTTCTTTTAGGGAGGATGCTCATTAGGATCCCGAAGGAGGGCATGATTGTTGTTCTGGTGCTTGAAATCAAAGCAGGATACAGAGGAGCTGTATACTGAAACTGAACCCTAAAATAGATGAAAGCGCATCAATGTGCACGTAGTGTGTGTGAATGGATGACTTGAATGCAGAGCAGTGATTATGATGAAAAGGTTGGACTACCTGGAATCAATTGGGGATACAATGATATCACTTGTTGTGTGACCAAACATGAGCTGTGTTTAGGTTTCTCAAGGGCAGGTGTTCATTTGTTTCATTGTTCTTTTTGAACACATTTTCCATTGTCAGCGTCCAGTTCACGGGCCAACAGTCAAAAATATTTGAACAGGAAGATGATAAGACTGTATCAGGGATTACTCCCACCATCACTGCAAATAATTAGCAGGACTCATCTGTGCTTTTCTGTAGCGATGCAGGTGACAGGAGGTAAAAAGAAGTCAAACCTTAACTTCACACACTGTATATAAATGGATGACAGTTTCAGGTAAAAATGGCATGAATTGTGTTAGGGATGGTGTTGGGCCACCTTAAGCTGCTAGAACACCTTTGATGCTTATTTTGACAAAATCTTAAGACGTTAAAATTCTGGAGATATGAACGCCTGTGAAGGCTATAACATATTAACCACATTATTTTCATACCGATGAAACCACTTCGTGTGCCTTGTATGGAAGTGGCCTCGTTTATTAAATGTCCGTAACCCTTTCTTCATGTTTTTTTCTGACTGATTTGTCACCTGCCTGTTTGTTATTGAACAAATCAGTACATTGGAACACAGCTTACTGGCATACTGAGGCTAAACGATATGCAATATATATATATACACACACACAATTGAAAGTTTACATACACTGTATAAAAATACATAAAACCTTTTTTTTGTGGTCTACAATTTTCTTCCTGATATCTTGGCTGATTTCTTTAGATTTTCTCATGTTGTCACAAAAGGAAGCAGTGTGTCCGAGTTGTGCCTTAAAATACATCCACAGGTGTGCCTCCAATTAACTCAAATGTTGTCAATTGACCAGTCAAAAGCTTCCAAAGCCATGACATCATCATCTGGGCTTTCCCAAATAGTTTGAAGGCATAGTAATGTTAGTGTATGTAAACTTCTGACTTTGAAGAAAGTAATTTTAAAAAAATACTCTCGTTATTCTGCAATTTAGCAAATAGAAATAATTTTGGTAATCCTGCCTGACCTAAAACAGGAAACGTTTAGTCACATTCAATGTCAGACAGTGGTGTTATGTGTCTTTTTATACAATGTATGTAAACTTCTGGTTTCAGCTGTATATAGTAATTATACTGACAAGTTGATATGAGTCATGATTTGAGTGTGAATGGTAATCTTCACATCACCAAAATATAAGAATAATGATTTCTGTTGTGTCTGTACCAAAGAAGCATTTTCCTCTATGTCAGAGAAATATGATTTCTAAACTGGGGAATCTCTATTGTTCCATAATGCTTCATTTAATGGTATGTTGTGACATATTTTTACCTGTGTGAAATCATTGCAGCTGTTGCGATTTAGATTCTGTATGATTTATACTTTTGAGGATTTGGTGTTTTCATGGTTTTGGTCTGTTGGACAGTTACAACTACATCTGAATGTTGGGCTCTGGAAGCTTCAGTTAGAACAGGTACAGCTGTAAAGCACAGATAAAGATAAAACCAGCGCTGAATGCTGATCATTACTGTTTGATAAGGAAAAGTTTAATGACGGCAAGTCTACTTTGAATTTTATAATAAAATGTAAAACAGGCACTGATGTGGTTTTACTTTGGTGTTGCAGGCATCACAATTGGCCAGCCACAGTGGTGTCTTTTTTCGTTTCTGTTCAACAGAACAGAGCAACAGACTTTAGGCCAAGGTAAATGTACCATTAACATCTGCTACTAGCACACAGGTAGGAGTGATACAACCAAGGTCATTTAAAGTAACTTGCCAAAACTTCATGCGTTGGATTCAGTCATTAATTACCCCAACCCTCCTGCTGGCTCTGCAGCACAGCCTCCTGTATCGGTCTCTTTTAAAGGCTAGCAGCTTTTTCTGGAACTGCTCACCAGCCACAATATACAGCAGTGGGTCCAGGCAGCTGCTTAAAGTACACATGGCTTCAAAAAACTCATAGGTGCCATAAAGGATATTGGTGTTAGAGGGTGTCACCAGGTTATAGATCCTCATGATCACCAGAGTGATGACCATGACGTGGTAAGGCACAAAGGAGATCGCAAAGACGAATATGGCAGCGGTGATGAGCTGCAGTGGCTTCCCTCCTGCTCGCTGGGCTCCTCTGGTTCTGCTACCTCTTGGGAGACGCCTCAAAACACGAACTGTCATGACGTAAAAAGTCAGCATGACACTGAATGGTAGCAGGAAGCCTAGTACTGTTCGGATAATGGTGAACGTCTTGATGTAGAGAAACGGACCCTTGATGTGGTCCATGCACACAGTGACGTTTTCTGAGCGCCGGATAACAAACGTTACAAATAAGTCAGGAATGGAGGTCACGATGAGTGCGACCCATGCGCACACCGAGCACAGCTTGGCTTTACCCACGTTCCACCAGCGGAGGGAGCTGATGGGGTGCACTGTCCCAATGTAGCGGTCGAAACTGATGAGGGTGAGGAAGAGTATGCTGCCGTATATGTTGATGTTGAAGGAGATCTTTTTGAACTGACAGAAGACCTGTACGTCTGTGGGTAATGTCGTCTTGAAGACAAAGTAGAGGCTGAAAGGCAGGGTGAGGATCCAGGCTGAGTCGCACAGAGCCAGGTTTAACAAGAAAACATTGCTGGTACTTGAGGCTTTTCTGTAGCAGAAGTAGTTGATTAGCACTGCCACATTTCCCAGGATGCCCACAGGAAGAGTGAAAGTGACGAGCGCCAGCAGGGTGTAGCAGTACCACTTGCCGATGTCAAAGGGGCTGAAGAATGTTGTCTGATTCTGGAACTCCAGGGGTGCCTCTGGGATTTAAAGACAGGAGGCTGAGTTAGTTTCACTACAGTATTATTCTAATACATTATGAAAAACAAATGGGTACTCCAGAGTTTTACAATTGAAATTTAGGAGACTTACAGGAGCCACGTTGGGTAAAGCTCCAGATACCCTGGAGTTTGTTAAATGCAGCTCGATAGTCCTTATGTTTCAAATGCTAACTTCCAGTTTGTAATACGAGCTTTCCGTTAAAGAAATAGTTGGACATCAGTGGGACTCTTGCTGAGAAGATGGATACCACTCTCAAGTCAGTCCATTCAGCATGAAGCTGGATCAGGCTAGCTCCACACGGTCAGCTTGGCTCAGCATGACGATTAGTCTGGCTCTGTCTAAGGGTAACAAAGTCTACCAACACTTCTACAGTTGATTGATTAATGTTCAATCTAGGCTTTGGCGAAAAAACAATAGCAATATGTACTACTGATAGACATTTTGTGAAGAGCAATAAGAAACTTGTTCGATAAAATGTTTGATAGTGTCACTTTAATGCATTTGCTGCAAAAAAACAAAGTTTTGTTGCATGAACAAACCCAGCCTGTAATACTTTGATAGTGGAGCACATTCACCCTCTCTTGATCTCACTGTGGCTTCTTTTTAGTTCTCCTGAGCTGTGCTAGTCTGTTGCCTCCTGGGCTTCCTGTCACCCTTGTCCACAGACTGACCCTGGTGGAGGCTGCAGCAGTTGGAGAGTGGTCATTGCCCTTGATAGTCAGACTTGGTGGGTTAAAACCATCCACTACCTTCTGTCCCACGCTAACTCCAGCTAAGTAATGCACTCCCAACGTCCTGCTCC